GTCAAATGTCTGAATCCCAATGTCGAGTCTGAATCCAAATGTCATCAAGTCCCAAAGTCACCAATCTCTCTCTCTCCCTCGTAGTCTGCAGATACTGAGAAGTTGGGTAGCGAGAGGGTGAGGGAGAGATGGTGGACTTAGAAGAGTAAGAAGAAGAACTCTCTCTCTCCCTCTCTCTCAGTCCAGTACTAACCTGTGAAGGTGGCGCCTTGTTGCAGGTACATCGAAGACGAAGCTGGAGCTATGGCGCCACAGGTAAGTCTCCCTGGCCTCCGCCAACCATCTCTCCCTCTCCAACGCTACTCTAGCTCCTAATAGCACCCAGCACTGAAGACTACTGCTAACATTACTACTACTACTGCAGCGCTCCTCCAGAGTGCTGCTGCCGAAACCTGAAGACTGCCTCCTGCCTCCTGCATGTGAAGTGCCTGGGAAGTCCCTATGAACTACCTTGTGACCACCTGCAGCCTGTAGGGCGGGCCAGTCTTATATAGTGCTGGCCCGTCCAGGAGGCTGCTCTTGCCAATGCCAAAATGTGCCAGACCCTGGCGTGGAAGTTCAAACAAAGGTTGTCTTGAAAACAGGCCAAAAATAGCCTGTGCTAAAACCCTGGTCTAGTGCCTAAGTTTCAGGGCACGTCGACTTTATGAGGGCCTGCAAATGGCCCTCGTTTTCAGGCTTTTAGGCTGAAGCGACACAGGGCCTGTAGGCCCTTGTTTTCAGGCTTTCAGTCTGAAACGACACAGGGCCTGTAGGCCATTGTTTTCAGGCTTTTAGGCTGAAAACGACACAGGGCCTATAGGCCCTTGTTTTCAGGCTTTTAGGCTGAAAACGACACAGGGCCTGGAAGGCCTTGATTTTCTGTCTGGTCGGGCCCTGGAGGCCCATGTGGCTGTGCAGTATGCCACTCTCTCTCTCTCTCTCTCTCTCTCTCTCTCTCTCTCTCTCTCTCTCTCTCTCTCTCTCTCTCTCTCTCTCTCCCTTCGGGTCCACCCATCACAGTGCAAGCACCTTTGTGCCTCACTTCTTTACAAAACGTTTCACACGCATCTGGACGGTATTGTAGGCCAGATGCATTCAAATCGGTCCAACGTTTTGAATGGATCTGAACCATCAGGATTTTCAGATATGTCAAATGTGTATTGGATCTCTCTCTCTCTCTCTCTCTCTCTCTCTCTCTCTCTCTCTCTCTCTCTCTCTCCTTCCCCACATCCAGAGCGTGCGCATGTTGCACACTATAGGGCTCTCCCTCTTCGCTAGGATCCTCCTCGACGCTCCCTCCATCTCCCGCCCAGCAGCCTCCTCGTCCTCCCCTTTGCATGGGAACCGCTGCACGGTTTTTGTTTTTCACCTTGTTCCTCCTCCTCCCCCTCCGTCCTCCTCTCTCCTCGGCTCTCCTCCTGTCGTGGTGCACCTTTTTCTTCTCGTCCTCATCATCCACCTCTCTCCTGCTCCTCCTTCCGCCTCCTTTCCCCTTGTCCTGTACCTCCTCGTTTCTCCTCCTCCCTCCCCCTCTTCCTCCTCCTCCTTCCTTTTCCCTCCCGTCATGTGCCACGTGGCATACCGGCACGTCTTTTTTTGTGTCATCGTTCTTATCCTAATCATCATCCTCCCTCCTACTCATCCTCCTTCCTGCTCCTTCATCTTGCTCCACCTTCCTCTTGCCTCCTCTCCTCTCCTCTCTCCTCCAGTCGCATTCCACGTGGCATACCACTTGTCGTCCTCCTCCCTCTTCCTACCTCCTACCTCCTACGCCTTCCTCCTCCCGTCGTCCATGTGGCACAGCGGCACATAATTCTTTTTCATTTCCTTCTCGTCATCGTCTACGACTACTTTGACAACTGACGATGGTCCAATACGGAAGTGCATCCTCCCACAACAAAGTGGAAAGACTCGCCGTCTCCTACGACCACTGACAAAGCCCATTGTCCAGTTGTCCAACAAAAAGAACGAAACTGCATTTCATTTTTCTTCAGATGATTTCAACGCGGTAAATAAAAATAAAAATAATCCAAGTTATCTCGCGACAGAACGCGGTGATATGCACACCGGAGAGATCCGTACCTGCGTGCAGAAGTCCGTGAAACATGCTCAACCTTTCACTAACTGAGCCTAAGCTGGTACCTGTCTGTTTTACGAAGCAAACATGGGCACGTCATATATCGCCACAGGCCAGCTTGTTTATGTACATGATTTTCCATGTGAGGGATATAGGGCATCACCACACCACACCCCAAGAAAATAAAAAATAAAACTCAAAACCTAGGCTACCAGAATGGCCCGGGTCCACTTGCCCGGCCGGACCAAAAAGAAATAAAAAATAAAAAAATAAAAACTGTTTTTTAATTTAAAGTTTCATTTTAAATTTCGTAAAGAATTTCGATGTGACCCTGAGGCAAAAGTTGTTCAGTTCATTTTTCTTCGTAACATAGTTTTTTTTTCGATTTTTTTGGAGGTTTTTTTTTTTTTTTTTTGGCTGGGACCTTCCCTAGTCCTTGCACGGCCAGGCCGCCCGGGAATATAGGGTGACCCGGGCGGCCCGGCTGGTAGCCTAGCTCAAAACATATAAAAAGAAAAAAAAAATGGAAAAAAAGAAGAAAAAAGAAAAAAAGAAAAAAAGACAACCTATAGCGGGTGCAAATATGTGATGCTATGGGCCTCGCTCCATTACTCCCCAAATGAGTAAAATGAGAATGAACTCTTCCGCTAGAAAATGGAAAGATGCATCATATTTTTTGTCTTTTGTGCATTTGGAGAGTAGCGGAGCGAAGCCCTATGTCGTGTACGTGATGCTAAGCATGTCCTCGTGTCCTCATGGAGTGATAGGGCCTCCCTCCAGGACTCACCAAATAAGGTAAATGAAAATGTACAGTCCGCTAGAACATGGAAAGATACACGAAGGGACTCGCTCCACTACACAACACTCTACTTGCACTTGGACGACCTTCCTACCAGTTGCATACGGACCACTCCAACATTTTGTACGTATCTGATCCAAAAAACATCCAAATACATGTAGTGTTGTGTAGTGAGTGGAGTGAGGCCCAAACGTGCGATGAACCCATCCAGAAAACATAATGAGAAACGGCCTCTATCCACTACTTTCGGCATGCACAAAAGACAAAAATATGCCATTGTATCTTTCCTTGTTCTAGCAGAAGATTCATTCTCATTCTACACATTTGGAGAGCAGTGGAGCGAGGCCCATACTCTTGTTAAACGAAATAAAAAAAAACAAAAATACGTTGCGATCAGACTCACTTTCTTCCTCACTTCGCATACATGCAAACAGATGGCGATTCACACTGGCACTGTGCGCCCACACAAAGCTCAGAGATAATCAAGCCGAGAACACAGCTCGGATACAAACTCGCTTCCAACCGGCTATGGCGCCTTAGCGCCCACACACCCTCTGTCTGACACTGTGTTCACCCAACTGTTCACATGCACTCGACTCAGGATCTCCCTGGATATCCTCTGTAACACACACGCACACACACACTCTGACTAACACCTATCGCTAGCTACGGCAGCTATGGCCGCCAACTACCACTAACTACAAGCAGCTATGGCTGCGCTAATTCCGTCTCAGCCCACTTCGACTACGGGCATCTGCGGACCACCTCGCACAAGACACTAGGGCAGCGCTTCCGCATGGCTCACGCAGGAATGAATGAATGGCCGGACGCTGCCTCTTGATTTATACTTCTGTAAGTCGCTGGTCTTCCCTTTTCCACCGGGCCCATGGTGCACAAAGTCCCTCATGGTACTTGCTGACTGTACAAAGTGAGACTGGGACTGGGTACCGCTGACTAAGCAAAGTTAGACTCACCACTTGCCCACTTGCCTCTGGTCTGCTGTGAGTAA